TTGTGTGTGTGTGTGTGTGTGTGTGTGTGTGTGTGTGTGTGTGTGTGTGTGTGTGTGTGTGTGTGTGTGTGTGTGACACCCCTCCACACATACACACAGGATAAAAGCATCTGTAGGTACTGTCTGAAGATGTGTGTTACCTAAGTGAATACTAAACTAGGTGACATTAAATATTAACAAAACAGAATGTACTGGCATTATTTTGATTACCATAGTGCTGAAGAGAGCAGCATATTCCAAAGCCTTCCCAATATTCAGTGAGTTGCTGCATTAGAAAGCCAGATGATTTTCAACCATGGTGTGAGGACAGGCTTTAAGAACATCAACAGATTGTGGATCTTTCTCTTTCATACTAATCTAAAGACACATGTGCATGCCTTTGTTATCCATATTGTGCTACCTATAACTCTTATCTGATGATAGCAGCTTTTTTATTGTTTGAGATAGGGAGAGAGTGAAATTTTATCTCCTGTTGATTTGTCCTCTCTGCTCACCACCTTTAGGCATATTGGCTGAGTTTAAACGTTTTTGTGATTTTTACCTTTAAAGACCTAACTGAACTTGCTCTCTAGCATATGTCTGAGCTTTATAACCCCTACAATATCTGCCATCTGAGTGGATGAAGAGACTTTTGTACCATGAACTTTGTCTATATTGATTTTAATTGTTTTAATGCTGCATTGTATGTGTGGTGCCTAGAACACAGATGGCAGATAGTTGCCATATATATATAAAACTACAATTATGCTGCTCACATCACACAACAGACAAAACTGATACAAAGAAGGAATGCATTGATCTGCACAACATTTTCAGGATACATTTTCAGTGCTTTTTGACATATTCGGTCTTAAACCACACCGTTCCAGCTTCTTGAGTTTCTTGCAATGCTTTTAATGACCCACATTATTATTTAGTATTACATCTTTCTCATGCCAATGTTGGTGCATGTGGCAGAAGCTAGTCTCTTCCATCACCCTACTTCCATCTGCTCTACGGTGTTGAGATCTACTGTTCTGCCCTCCCGCCTAAGGGTTCTTTTAAAGGATTTTCGTCAATACGCTTGTTTCCTCACACCAGTTGGTTTCCACTTGATAGCTTCATGTGGGCATCTGTGTGTTGGCATGTGGAATACATGGCTCAAATATGTTCAATACTTTCTTCTAACTGTAATAGAGATGAGTTGCTGGTTGGTAATTTCTCAGATCTCTTCATTGATGATAAAGTCTCTCTATCCAATGCTCAGAATCTTTTGTAGGCAGTTATTTTCAAAGGCATCTAGTTTTCTAATATTTTAATAGAGCTATAGCTCTTGCAGTCACATGTTAGCACTGCGATTATGTTTGAGTTGAAAATTCTCAGTTTTGTTTTGGTGCGGTATATCTTTCATCTATTGTTCTGTTCTACCTCAGTTGCAAGCATTTTTCCATCAATTTTTCCAAATTGCTCCATTTTCTGTTTTGAAATTTTTCTACACAGGATTTAGTCACTTAGGAAATCACAGAGTTGTTAACAATCATAGTAGCTTCAGCTTCAACTGCTAAGTCTTCAACGTGTCTCCATTTAATTTTCCTTGTATTGCTTTTCACTGCTTTGTCTTCTTTTTTGTACTCCTCCTTTGCTTTTTCCAATATTTCATTGGTCTTAGCATTCAGCAGTTTCCTTGTCAGTACTTTTCTTTCCTCAATAAGATACCACATCTCTTGGGCTTATCCAATTATTTCGCAGTCTATGCTGATATCCCACTGTAACTGCTGCAGCTTGAATCACATTGTCTCTGAGCACTGCCCATTTTTTTTAGGTCCAGTCTGTGTCTCACCTTCCTCTGCCTCTGGCAGTGTCTTAAACTTGTTTCTTAGTTTAAGTTGGAATTTCTCACAGTACTCTTTTTGTTTTCAGTTCTGTACAGTTGATTTTCTTTGCCACTTTCTGTTTAAAGTTGATCTTTCTCAGTTTTAATTTCAGTTTGGCAATGCAAAAGTAGTTGTTGCTGCTGACATCTGCTGCTCGATATGCCCTTCTGTCTTGGGCACATGAACTGTATCTCAAGCTGATGCAGATGCGATCAGTCTGGTTTTTTATATTTTGCCATCTGGTGAATACTGAGTTTCTTTTTGTATGTCATGAGGGAACCAGGTGCTTGTAAGAACAAGGTCCGACACCAAGTACAATGAATCTCTCCCCATTTTGGTTAATGATTCCCAACCCATACATCGCCATTGTGCTTTCCATTCCTTGGTTATCACTTCCTACTTTAGCGTTAAAATCACCCATCACAAGGAGTAAATCAGGTTTTGGTAATCAGCCACACTTCAGAGGCAATTATAGAACTTATCTTTATCCTCATTGCTAAGGTCCTCTTTTAGAGCATAGCACTGTCTGAATGACACCTTTAGGAATCTGGTTTAGAATCTTAGAATCAGAAATTTGGGGCTGGAAGGAACCTCAAGAAGTCATAAAGTCCAGCCCCCTGCACTGAGGCAGGACCAAGTAAACCTAGACAGATATTTGTCCAACCTGTTCTTAAAAACCTCCAATGATGTGGATTCCACAACCTTCCTTGGAAGCCTAGTCCAGAGCTTAGCTATCTTTATAGTTAGAAAGTTTTTCTTAAAATCTGACCTAAATCTTTCTTGCTGCAGGTTAAGCCTACTACCTCTTGTCCTAACTTCAGTGCACAGGGAGAACAATTGATCATAGTCCTCTTATAACAGCTCTTAACATATTAGACTGTTATCAGGTCCCCCTTTAGTCCCAGTTTTTACATCTTTCATCATAGATCAGGTTCTCTAAAATTTTTGCCATTTTCTGTTGCTTTCTTCTTGACTTTCTCCAATTTGTCCAATCTCCAATCTTTCCACCCAGAATTGGACATACTACTCCAACTAAAGCCTCACCAGTGCCAAGTAGAGTGGGACAATTTCCCCCTTGTGATACATACAACACCACTGTTAATACACACCAGAATTATATTCGCCTTTTCTGAAACTGCATCACATTGTTGAGTCATTCAATTTATGATCCATTATAACTAAGGTTAAGTTTTAGTCACCTTTAGTAAAAGTCATGGATGGGTCATGGACACTAAACAAAAATTCACAGCCCGTGACCTATCCATGACTTTTACTAAAAATACCTTGAGTAAAACTTGGATGGGGGGCCGTGGGTGCTTTGGGGGGGAGGGGGCACGATGGCTGCTCGGGGAGGTGGCCTGGGACCGCTGCTGGTGCTGGTGGGGGAGGGTTGGTGGGGCTGGCAGGGGTTCCCTACCTGGCTCCACATCCCTGCAGCTCCTAGGCGGTGGAGGAGCACAAGCGCTGTCTGCCACAGCTCCCATTGGCTGGGAACCACAGCCAATGGGAGCTGCGGGGGTGGGGCCTGCAGGCATGGGCAACGCATGGAACAGAGCTCCCCCCCGGCCCCTCTGTTGTCTAAGAGCTGCAGGGCCATGCCAGTGGAAGTCCCCCACCCCAAGCTAAGCACCCCCACACCCTCCAACCCCCTGCCCCTAGCCTTGAGCTCCCTCCCACACACCCAAACTGCTGCTGCTGGCCCAGGGGCTGCCAGGCTTGGGCAGCCCCTGAGTCAGCCCCAGCCACTGCAGAAGTCACGGTGGTCAAGGAAAGTGATGGAATCTGTGACTTCTGTGACCTCCGTGACAGACTTGCAGCCTTAATTATAACTCCCAGATGCTTTTCAGCAGTATTAGCACCTAGCCAGTTATTCCCCACTTTGTAGTTGTGCATTTGATTTTTTCTTCCTAAGTGAAGTACTTTGCACTTATCTTTATTTAATTTCATCTTGTTGATAACAGACCTATTCTCTAATTTGTCAAGGTCAATTTGAATTGTAATCCTTCCAAAGTGTTTGCAACCTCTCCAAGCTTGTTTTCATTTGCAAATTTTATAAGAATATTCTCCACTCTGCCATATATAATACATCCATTGGTTGATAGGTTCCCAGTTGATAAGAATTTTTCCACAGAATCTGCCATAATGAGCGCTACTCTGTCTAAATGTATATTGTCACTACGACCTGAATAGATGAGATGTTTCTTCTCTTGCTTCTCATATCTGCACCTGTCACTCTGCTCTCACTGATGCCCAAGATTTCAAGTCCATAGTTGTCCATCTTCCTCATGAATTGTGAGGTCTGATGTA